CTATAATTTTGTCCCAAATCAGGCTGTGGACAAGATTTCAATTTGATCAGCTGCAGTGCTTCCCGCTGAATCTGCTTTCAAAAATTAGACCATTAACCTGTTGTATAAAATCTGCATAGAGAAATTTGAAAGGCTTGCAGGAGCATGTAATTTTAAATTAGCTAGGCATTATTTCATGCAACTGCACGTGCAGTGCACATATATTATTTCATACTGTTCCATGTAGTTTGTTACAAATCTATTGCACTTTGTAATTTCAAAACAATAAAAATGTTCAACAGATGGCAAAGGAGAGGAATAAATCCTGTCCAAACAAATGTGGCATGGAATGTCTTGGCTCAGTCGGTTGAAGTGCCACGTCTCATACTGCTATAATTACGTGACGGGATGGTTCGAAACTGTCTGTCCAAAAATGCTAAGACCAATACTCGCGTATGATGCGGTTCTTGCGCGTGCATAAATGATGTGTGTTTACGTGCGTGTGTGTGTGTGTCGTGTGGACAGTAAGCAGCCTCTGGGGCATAAAAGTTTAATTAAGAGTATAATATATCAACATATAAACAGCTCTGCCTTTAACAGATCTGCATTATACAGAATATAAAAGAACGAACTTCTATAAAGTACGGAATACAATTTTAAAATAAAGCATGTATAGACATATACACATCGCACATAAGCACGCAGACACGCCAAATACATACACATTTGTAAGTTATAATATGTACATATACACATGTATGCGTATATGTATATATGTATATATATATATATATATATATATACATACATACATACATACATACATACATACACACAAAACATACATGCAGACAGGACGCATGTAGGGATGCATTGCATATATAATGAATGCATTAAAAACGATGCACACACACAAGCAATATAGCTCGTTACAATATTGTAAACAAAAATTGAAACCATGCAGCCAGAGACAACCAGACACAAGATCTGCCTATATGTAGTATATATGTAGTATATGTGTAGTAGGTATGTAGTAAGAATGTAATTTTTTAAGTATTTATGTATATAAGTATGTATGTACGTATGAATGTATGTATGTACGTACGTATGTATGTTTGTATGTGAGACCTCAGTGAAGCCAAATCATGAAGAAGTCAGGAGAGGAATCCCCGCCAACAAATGTTTCGGCCCTTAACAACCTCCTTACATTCTCGTATGTATGCATGTGTGTAGCATATATTTATTATGCATGTATGTATGTATGTATGTATGTATGTATGTATGTATGTATGTATGTATGTATGTATGTATGTATGTATGAATGTATATATGTAATTTGTATGCATGCATGCTTTGATAATACGTATGCGGATGTATGCACAACATGGCGTTTATTTGAATATAAGCAAGCAGCATGTCTAGTATGCACGTAAGTATGTATGTATCTATTGTATAAAAAGGCATCCACTGTATGTAGCAAACACAAGACAACACTACAAAAATTGTGAGCTGATCATTGTTCAGTTACAGCAGCCTATTGCATATTACATTATTCTTTATATAAAAAATATAACAAAAAACATAAGAATATAAGAATATATATATATATATATATATATATATATAATTATATATGCATGAGACGTTTTGGTACTTGTCTGTGTTTGTTTCATAGATTTATAAAATTCTTGGCAACACCGGCGTCATTGGTGGCATGTGGATGTAAGCGTGAAAAAATGAAGGAACAAGTTAACAAGCAAAATAATAATAAACATATTTAGCATAAACATAAATAGGGTCATCATTATACAAACACACTCACTCACACACACAAACATATATATATTAAAATTCACATACATGTATACACATGTGTTAAAATATATATGTATGTAAACATAAATGGAAATCACTGGATGGATATAGTGACGTACACTGGCTGGCGTACTTGTGTACATTTCCACGAATATTGACGATTCTATTTATATCACTTTATAGATTCCAATGTACTGTAGACACATAAATGCGAGCACATACATCGCAATGCAATCAGATAGACCTAAAATAACGATCTACAGATTCTGGCCTCATTTTGAGAACTGGTTTACATCAAAAAAATAAGTTGGAAAAACGTTTGCTGTGTGTGTGTGTACGTATGTGCGTGTAAATGATCGGAGATTGGGTTGCATCTCACCACAACGTTGCACTATAACTATTTCTGTAAGGTCGATATTGTTATTTTTTTCATTATAATTATTTTTATCGACACATTTATAGCTTACTAATAAAATAATTATTATAGTTTATTATCATTGTTGTCATTGTTATTCTAGTAGTATTAACATTGGTGGTATTATTATTATTATTATCATCATTATTATTATTAAGAGGATCATTAAAATGTTAGCACTGATACTATTGTGGGACAATGTCGTAATCGTGTTTGTAACTTGCCACCAAACAAGATGAACATCATTTTCAACATCACCATCATTATCGCGGCACTCAGATTCGTGTTATAACAATTAACATTAGTTTTACTAATAATAGAAATAATAACAAGGTCATTATTACCATCATTCAAATAACTATTACTAATAAATTTTCATCAGATAACCACAAATACTAACATAAAAACGCCAATAAAGTCAAAAAGTTGATAACATATCGTATACTTAATGCTTAAAAATTTTAAATGACAACGCAGCAGAACAAAGTGAAGCCATTTTCTGAAGCTATTCAATGCATCTGTTGAAAGGACTGCTACCATTGCTAAAACCTTTTCAGTTTACTATGGTTAATAACAATAACAATGCTAACATAAATAACAATAACATATAGACAACAATAACACACACAAAAGAACAAGACAAGCTATGCTGCCTCTAACGGTGCTATTGAAATTTTTACTTTAATTTTTTAACTGTCAGTGTACACACACACACACACACACACACACACACACACACACACACACACACACACACACACACACACACACACACACACACACACACACACACACGCTTATATATATATATATATATATATAGGTAATATATATATATTGGTAATAGACCATAATTTTTACAATATTCTATAAATTCTACCGAATGTTTGGCGTTAAATATGTTTGTAGTTCGTTTTTTCCAACGAATGATGACCAACGAAGATGGACCAGCCAATAAAGAAATCTGACACCTAATTTCTATCTAAGTTCACTCTGACAAAGTGAATATTTCCATGTATAAACTAAATTGCACTGATGATGATTCATTCGAAATCGAAATATGGCCTTATTTGCAGCATGAATTCGGAAAATAAGTTTATTTTGAATTTTAATAAACTAAACGTTCTCCAAAAAACTTTAGTGAGAAAAATCGAAAAAACGAACTACAAACATATTAACGCCAAACATTTGGTAGAATTTATAGAATATTGTAAATATATATATATGTGTGTGTATGCGTGTGTGTGTGTGCCTGTGAGTGGGTCTGAAATTAGAATGCACTCTAGCCTGCAATTAAGATAACACTACTACTATTGCCATTTCTACTCATATTACATAAACAATAACTAGTACTTCTACTACCGCTTCTATAACATCAATAACAACATCCATATCAATGACAATAATAACTGAATGATAATAATATTAACAATAAATACTAATATAACAGCAATAATAATCATAAGATTTTTTTTATATTTTAATATTATTGTTCTTTAGAACCTCCATTGAAATATCTTAAGCAGGAACCTACCCAGCTATCGTTATCGTCACAGTACAATCAATAATTGTTTTTTGTCACCAAAAAAAAACCACCAACTACACATAAAGGTAGCATTGTTAAACAAAATACTCTGCCGATCAAAACTTTCAATACATAAATTACGATGATAATGGAATAAATATTACACGATGGATGTATTTCTGCTGCAAGTGGCTTTCAAATCTGATTGCAAAGCAAACTTCGCTCACTACATATTTTTATTATTCACATACATTTACATCTCTTTATTTTTTACATACATTTGTTTCCATCAACGTTTTGCCATAGTAATTATAATAATAAATTATAAAAAATATAATAATAATATAATAAATATTAATAATGATAATAACTACACCACGGGAAAAATACAAACTTCAATTAATTTATTATTCTTAAAGAGCAGGTCTCTAATGATGTTATCATATTTCTTCTGCACGTTCATGTAACTCTCGCATAACTCATGGCGGTGTTGTTCCTCATCATCAGCAGCAGCAGCAGCAACAGCAGCAGCATCCTCATCATCATTGCTGATGGAAACACCCACACCTTCTCCTCTTCCTCTTCGGCAATTCCTCTTGCTGCCACAGTTCAAGGCAGTCCTGAAGAGTGCGTAACCTTCATCGTGTGCTTGCTGCATAACCCTCACGACGGCCTCGAAGTTGGTTGAGTCGTCGTCGTCGTCGTCTTCACCGTTGTTGTCGTTGATGTGCTGCTGGTGGTCAGTCCCTGCTGGCTCACAGTCCATCACTTCTGATTTGATGTACGTTTGCGGACCTATGTCGAAAACAGCAAATTTAAAACAATTTGACTAATTTTTCAAAGTTAAAAACTCATTCGTAATTCTATCATATTTAATTCGCTGAGTTTGAACAATTTCAGATGAATATTTTAATATTTTAAGTTAATAAATTGTGAAGAGCAACTCAATATCCGTACAAAAGTGTGCATTAAGCAATACGCATATACAGCATCTACACATAATACAGACTATAAGCATTTAGAGAAACACACAGACATATACAGTTAAACACACATATATAGGAACACACAAACACACATGTACGCAGACACACACACACACACACACACAAAAGTACTAACACACGCTCACTCACTTGCATATAAAGATACACACGAATGAACATAGATACAAAGAAAGAGCAAACTCATACACATAAAAGGATGTACAAATGCAATGTTGGTACATTAAACCATATCGCTCTTAGTTCAACTTTTAATGGAAAAATTTCATTCCTCCATATTATCCTGTTCTTTCATCTCCACTTCATTTCATCAGACCATTCATCACCCCCGCCATCACCACCATCGTCATATTCATTACCACCATCATCATATTCATCATCATCATCAGCAGCAGCAGCAGTTTTTCATTACCATCATCTTCATCACAATTATCATGGTGATCATCACTCTAATCACTATCCAATTAAGTAATAAAAACGTCAGCAATATATAAATCCATATATTTCTTACAAGCGCAATATATATAAAATATATATATATATATATATATATATATATATATATATATATATATATATAATATATATATTTTTTTACAATATTCTATTATGGTCTATTACCAACATAATATATATATATATAAATATATATATAACGAGTGACAACCTAAAACTTTGAACTTTGAGCAGCCAATCTCAAATGAGAACTAATCTGCTTGCTTAGACAACATCTTTGTAAGACACTGCACGTTATACCCTTAGACGGGATGTCTTCCTAATACAAATATAGACAAGTTAAATTTTTTTAAAATTTGTTTCTACGTACATTCTACTAATCCTGACAAACATGGCTGGCTGTTTGTGGCTGGAGACTGACTGATAAATAAATACAAGACAAACAAACCAACAATGCAATAATATACCATGGCAATAATCAGTTAAATTTTATTTACTCATATTATTCCTCCGTATCATTAGGATTAAAAAATCTAGGATTTGTTATACGGAACATTACGAACTATTGTTAGAGATACGGATAAAATTTGTAATATGCAACAAATATAATCATTTAAATTAAAAAATACATGCCCAATACTTATCGACAGAAACGTATGGACAAAAAGAAAAGAATAAAAGAATAAAAGTTTATATAGCGGTAACAGATGTTTAACAACCAGTCATCTTAAAAACATTTTTTTTTTGTTTTTGAAAAAATACTCAAGTTAATATTATTATTATATAGACAGACATACATACATACATACATACATACACACACACACATACATACATACATACACGTGCCGATGTGGCGCTGGGGCGGACGAGTTTGGGCACCACGGTTTGGTTTGTCGCCTGGGTGGGGGCCGTCAACTACGTCACTCAGCATTAAACGACTACATTACAAGGCTTTAATCCCGGTTCGGTTCTCAAGGAACCATCCGGCATTTCTGCGCATGATGGTAGGCGCCCGGACGAATGCACACTAATACCTTGGAGAGCCGGTAGATGTTTGGCGTGGGATGTTACGGTCCCTGGCACCCATGCCGAACGATATGTAAACCTGACAAGTAAAGAATGCGGTTTGGTCGCGGCCAGGGCAGCGGACGAGAAAATGAAAAAATATGGGAACGCCCTCCCCTCGATGGAATTCTTGCCAATATGTATGGAGGTTCTCGGCCCGATGGACCCCAACACCCTTAAATCATTTAATCCATTTGTTACTTGATGTTTGACGGTTCAGTGTTACTCATCATGTTTTGGTTTTAACATACATACATACATACATACATATATATATACATACATACATACATACATGCATACATACATACATGCATACATACATACATAAAACACATATATACACACATACATACATGCATAGACTGATATGCATAAGAGTCTTCCAATAAACTATGACGTAATAAAGACAAAATGCCAGCACAACAACATCCTAAATGGTTATAATGGTTATTTAATTTTTAACAGCTTCTCTCTTTTATATATATATATATATATATATATATATATATATATATATATATATATATATTGTTATTTATCTATTAATCATTTTTTTTGTTGAGGCTTCAGGGAGATAAGTAAGAGTCAGAAAAAAGAGAGAGAGAGGAAGTAGATAGATAGACAGAATGAGAGGGAGAGGGTAAGAGTGTCATTTTTATGATGGAATGAAATTGAACAAAAAGCAAATGGCAGCCAATGAACTGTCATTCTTGAATTTCTTTTTATATCAAATTTGTGAAATAGAAATTAAAGCTGAGAATGAAAAGATGATAAAGTACAAAAGCACTGGTTTAGAAGAGGAAGATAGAATCGGGTAGTTTGCTAATGCAAAAACCTTATTGATGATAACAAATTATAATAATAATGACACGTGACACGGTAGTGACAATTAATATTGATGGTTAACATTATCCTATTATAACGTTATGATATTTATTACACAACAAACGTTCAATGATTGTGAGAGTTATGATAATGAAGGAAGAAAAAGCAGCAGACACAAGCACATTCACCACACAGACACACACACACACACACACATACATACATACCCAAAAACAAACACACACACGCAAACAAACACAGACACACACCCACACAGATTTGCATGGTCGTCAGATAAACAAAGATGCGGAAATATTTATGCAAATGTTTGTTAATGCGATATTTTGAGCCGTTGGTGGTTATTGCAGTGCTGCTAGTCTAAACCTTGAATAGTAATAATGATAGAGCTGTAAAAAAGTCTTATTAAAAATGTTCATCTTTTTGGACAATTTTCTGTTTTCTAATCTTCTCTCTCTTTCTCTTTTTCTCTCTTCTCTCTCTCTCTCTCTCTCTCTCTCTCTCTCTCTCTCTCTCTCTCTCTCTCTCTCTCTCTCTTGCTCTTTCCCTCTTTCTCTCCCTCTCCTTTTTTGTTTTTCTTTTTACCATCTTAAGTGTTTGCATATAATGATTTAGTGCATACTGTTTTCATGTTTTGTGATATTTTTAATAAAGTTTAAAAACGACGATCCTGTCTACCAGCTAAATGAATAGACATGCTGTTGCAAGTGCACCCCGCCCATCTCCTCTCACCCAAACAAATAATAATAAACAGATCAATTGATCAGCAGCAAGCAGACTTAGAAGCAGATTCGAAGTAAAAGCATGATAATTATAAAAATAATAACCACTAACAATTATAAAAATCATTTTCGTCTGCATGGAAGGTCAAAGTTTTGTTGACGTCGTGCTGCTGGCTGCCGTAGCAAGCTTTGTAAGGTAAGCCACAACCACTTGAGGTAAAATTTTCGTCGTTCCCGACATCGAACTCGTTGAACTTCTCAGATGGGATTAGTGATATGTTTGGAGGAATTTCACCCGGTACGTGCCTGGAATCAACAATGATAAACAATTAGTTAATGAAATTTCACTAGACAGTTAATAACTAAAGCGAGACAATTTTCTTGAAAATAATGTTGGCGTGTGATCAAACGAGTAATAACACAAATTAATTATAATACTGTTTAGTTATAACCATAACCAGCAAAAAACATAATCCCTTAGTTACCTCGTAATATCAATACTTATAAAGGTCATGAACATTTGAAAAAAATCTTCACAAATTAAATTGATATTTTATTAAATTTTAAATTTTGTAATTGACATTTAAGCAGCATTAATTGTAACGTAATGCCATGGTTTTCACGAACTCGCGTGCATGTTAAGACGGTCGAAAACCAAGGAGTGCAGTTCGACAATATATTGACCATGTTACCACACGCAGTGAAACTTGGTTCAACTTGTTTTCTACAGCTGCGTAAGTTACATCAGACTAAAAAATGTCTCTCAGCTGATATCTGCCCAAGTCTTGCGGTATCATTTATATTGTCGAGGTTAGATAATTGTAACTCTTTGATGTTTGGTTCTGGGGTTGGAGTGGTTAAGAATGTTCCACACATTCAGGAAGCTGCTGCAAGACTGGTTGATGAGCGTGGTAGATGTGATGACATAACTGGGTGGTTGGAGAATTTTCGTTGGTTGCCGGTGCGTAAAAGAGTTTCTTACAAGATAGCAGTTACTGCTCACTGTTGCATTCATGCGGTGGACCAGAATACTTGAAGAAGGTTTTTCGTAAAATCTGAGCCGGACATGGGACGTGTCCTGCAATCGATCTCCACTGAATTGACAGTAGTCCCCAGAACTAAGACGAAGCTAAGTGATAGATGCATGCAAACTGGTGCTATTAAAATTTTTACAATAATAATAATAATTAGAAAATAAGTCAGTGACTTCAATCAAGATGAAATGAATGATCTGATTTTGCAGGTTCTTCAGCCAAGAAATAAAGGATTCATTATTGGAAAAAATACAGAAAAAGAAACAACAGAGTTAACCGAACATTATCGAAAGCGTAAGTTAATTATGTAGGTTCACGAAAACCATGCAACTTGAAATGTCATTTACTGTAAAATTCTCAAGTGCTCACAATTTTTGGAGCAGTAGTGTATACAAAACTATTATTTAATTCAACAACAACTGAATATAAAAATATGAAAAATGAGGAGATAGGTTGAAGCTAACCAGATTTCAGGTGATATGGTTGATTGTTCGTGCATCAACTGCGGTGGATCATCTTGCCGTCTGAGGAAATTTAGAATTAAGAAAATTTTTTTCAAAACAATTTATCATCAATTCGCTTAATTTAACTTTAAAACAGCAACTGAAAAAAGGCGTAGTTACGCCACAGGCATGCGGCTGAAAAAGGTAAATAAAAAACAAGAAACACTTTATATCCAGCAACCGAATCTGCATTTATGGTCAATTACTTTTTTTCAAGAAATATCTGATTTTATATTTTAACATTTTTATTTTTCTCTCAGTTCAACAAACGAAAATTATTTACTCAAACCAACATGTGTGTATATGTCCAAATAGTAACATGTGTGTACTGTACAAGTGTGTGCGCGTGTGTGTCCATTTGTTTGTTCTGGTGCATCATATAAAAAAAAAATCTACTTAAAAAAAACACACACTCCAAAATGTTTAAATATAAATAAGTGAGTGAGTAATAAAGTAAATATCTAATTAATCCTCCGCCACATATATATATATATATATATATATATATATATATATATGTGTGTGTGTGTGTGTGTGTGTGTGTGCATGCGCGCGCGCGTCAGTGTGTGTTTGACATATAGGTTACACAAAATAATGTGGCAACTACTACCTAATGAACCATAATTATATAACATGGAATAAAAAAACAATTAAAATAGAAAATAAGCATTGTTAATAAAAACATAAAGAATAAAAAGCCGTAATATGATAACTATTGGTACAACATATACAACATATATGAAAATTTACACAATCAATTAGCTATTAATATTTTCCATTAAGGGAAGAACACAAATCAAATTTTTTCCAACTAGATAAAAGATATGTGCTACTGAGCTGGTCACAGGAATAATGGAGTCAAGGAGAAAAATAAAATAAGGAGGTGAGTGCATAAAAATAGAAAAAAGATGGAGAAAAAAGGCGATAGAGAGAGAAGCAGAGAATTTTATGCTAAAATACAGAATAAGTACATTTAATAATCCTAAAATGACTTAGGAACAAAAATCGTTCAAGTTTTTAAATTATGGCAAAAGCGTAACGTTGGCCGCAGTTATAAATATTTAAAAATTATTAAATATAATTATGTTGATCATGTCAGAAACTGACTGAGAGATTGGCTAAAAGAGACTTGAAAGAAATTAAGTTGCCAACCCGTCATAATCTGACACATATTGCTGTGTTTGTGGATCTTCAGGTGCAACCACTTTAATGTCGGCTCTGTAACTTTTGTTCTGAATCTGGGAAAAAATTAAAATCAAACTTTCAATTATTTGACAACAAGTAATTTTAAGTTTAACAAAAATCTACAAATTTTCATTTTAATTATTAACATATTGGCTACAACCGCTGCTATGAATGTTATTAAATTGTTAAAACATTTAGAAAACTTAATCACTTATACTTGAGCATTATAAAATTTGTTCTCAGATGTTAAACATCTGAATAAGTGTTCATCAGTTTGAAAAATTGAAAGTTGGAGACAAAATGTATAGACAGGAACGAGCTGTTCTTAAGAGATACGTGTTTTTCATAGTAGTAAACAACAACAACTGCGTCTCACTCCATATCACTTGTGTGATATTACTAAGAGCTTTAGTAATCCTCAGTATTTGCATTTTTAGTTCCAACAGTTACTTATTTAACAAGTTTGTATAGTACTAACAAAATTTTTCAACAAACGGTAACATCAAAATGTATATTTTTTCAATGGGCCCAATAAACATGGCCAACTAACGATAGAATATAACATTTAAAAGATGTTATATGATAAAAATTAAAAACCACTAGGCGTCATTGATATACTTGCTTGTGACAATAAAAAGAAGTTTAAATGATATCAGATATCACTAACATACATATAGAACATATATTTATACAAGCAGATACAAACCGACGCACACACAAATATATATATATATATATAGATAGAGCTTCTGTATAATGCATGTCTTGACCTCAGAAAACAGGGATTGATTCAATTTGACAGTACGTTTCACAGTCAGCTACAGGCCGAGGCACACCACCATCGTAATGCCTGTCTTAAACCAGCCCTGTCCAAGTAAACGCTCGCTGCAGCCAGAAGTCTCCGAGGTAACCACAACATCGTTATATGTAGGTCTGACAAATCAGGTCATGAACCGTGCTGATTACAACAACCAAATCAACAATATCTTGTCAGACGAAACTAAATTTCGACGAATAACTAAAGACCCTACAACACACATCAAAACATCAGTTAACAAACTTATTGCACAAATTAATCTTAAATCCAAATTAATAAAACTTGTTCCAATAGTTGGTGAATACAACCCAGGATATATATACGGTAACGTAAAGACTCACAAGTCAAATAATCCACTGCGACCAATCATCTCGCAATGTCCCACCTCTACATACCAGTTGGCAAAGGCGCTCAACAGACTTCTGGAGCCATACGTCCCTCGTACCTATTCAGTTAAATCAAGCTTTGAATTCATCGAGATCATTAACGACAACAGACGATGCGTCAGTTGTATGGCTTCGTTGGATGTTGAGAGCTTGTTCACCAATGTTCCCATCGAATACACTATTGATATCATTTGTAAATATGTATACAATCATCCAACACTACCACAGCTAGATATTCCTCCTAACTTACTCATCGAATTACTTAAGTCGTGTACCGTTGAAAGCCCTTTTCTTGCTCCGGATGGTTTGTTGTATCAGCAGATCGATGGTGTCGCAATGGGCTCTCCGTTAGGCCCTTTGTTTGCTGAATTCTATATGGCTGAACTCGAGGCCAAAATATTTGCTGATTCAACTAATAAACCACTAATATATGCTCGATACGTGGACGACATCTTCATCATTTCCTCAACCGTTACTGATATATATAATCTACAAAACATTTTTCAAAATAATTCGCACCTGAAATTCACAATAGAGTTTAGCATTGAAAAAAGACTTTCCTTCCTCGACTGTTTGATAGAACAAAAGGACGAGCAACTAACTACTATGGTATATGTTAAACCTTCCAATTCTGGCCAAGTTCTCAACTATAAATCTGATTGTCCAGACCGATATAAAAATAACGTAGTTTACAATTTCATCCACCGTGCATACAAAATTTCATCAGATAATAATATATTCCATACAGAATTACTTCGCATCAAACAATTCCTTATTAACAACAACTACTCCAATAAAATAGTCGACGATACAATCAAGAAATATTTACATAAAATCAATAATATAACCAATACAACTCTTCCAACAATAGCAACTAAAACAAAGATACCGTTATATTACATGAACCAGATGCACGACAACTACAAAGTGGATGAGACCCAACTTAAACGAATCGTTAAATCCAACATCTCCGTCTGCGACAATAACAATCAATTAAAACTCATCATATATTACAATACTAGCGTACATCAAACCTCGTTATAAGGAATAGTCACAATCAACCAACACCTACGCTAGAGAGGACAAATGTTGTGTACCGTTTTATGTGCCCTATGCCACACAGTGTTGTGGAGAGTTATATCGGTCACACACGTACTACTCTCTCTCGTAGACTTACAATGCATATACAGGATGGGGCAATAAAGAACCATATGGTTAGTGAACACCATATGCCTCTCACCAGGACCATTTTGGATTCGAATACTACGATACTTGACACTGAAATGCATCCTGGTCGACTTAAAATCCGTGAGGCCCTGTATATCAACAAACATAAACCCACTTTAAACAAGCAATCAAGCAGTTTCGACCACATCCTACAACTATTTTCTCAATACCGGGATCAGGCTCTACTGTGTAACGTTGTACGTGAGCAA